GGGGGGGGGGGCTGCGCAGCTCTCTCTCTCTCTGCCCCACGGGTGCCTCTCACCTCTTCCATCTCCTCGTCGTCCTCCGGGATCTCTGGCGGGTCAAAGAAGTTGAAGAAGGAGTCGGTCGGCTCCTCGACCTTGATGGTGCGCACCTTGCCCTTCTTCTTCTGCCGCTTCTCCACCATCCGCACGGTCACGTCCATCCCCTCCTTCCACTTGATGTCGGTGCCGAGCGCACGTTCGAGCACCTCGTCCTCGTCAGTCGGGTCGAGCAGGTAGGTCTGCGCGGTGCGACGGGCGTAGGCGGGTGGACGGGGCCGGGAAGGAGAGGGGCGGGAAGGAGGGAAGAAGGGAGGGGTGGGGTGGGGTGGGAGAGAGGGGGGGGGTGGGGTGGGAGAGAGGGGGGGCGAGGTGGCTCGCCTTTGTGAGGGTCTCATTCTCAAAGTGCGGGTTCGGCCCGAAAAGAAAGGCGAGCTGGAAGCCGGGCTTGCCTGAATGAGGCACGATCAACGAGGAGTGACTCGAGATGAAAAGAGTAGCGGGGCGAGCTGGAGGCCGTGCTGCGCCCGGGCCGAGGGTGGACGAGCACTTGATGTCCTGGAGGTGCTTGAGGACGGGCTCGTCCGCCTGGCAAGTAGTCCGAGGGGGGGCGTGGTGGGAGGAGCGGCGAGAGGCGTGGCGTGGGGAGGCGTGGAGGGAGGCGTTGGGAGAGAGGAGAGAGGGCGGGAGAGAGGGCGGGCGGGGCGCGTCACAGTGCAAGCTACGGCGAGATACGGCGCCGAGGTGTGCCGCGTCGTGGCGTCCAGTATTGATCTCGTCTCAGACACGTCTCGAAGGTGGCTCTCGGAGGTGTCACGGCCGTCCCTCGGAGGCAAGGTGTCGGAGGAGGCGAGAGGGGCGGCGAGGGGTGCTTGCGCGGCGGCGGCGGCGGCAGAGACGGCGTCCAGTGAGGAGGAGGAGGAGGAAGGGGGGGGGGGGGCGTGTCTGCCACGCGTGCGCCTTTTGGATCTCCTCGGAGAGCATCATGTGGTTCCGCAAGCAGGTCAGCCAAAAGTCGGGCACGCCGTCGCCGCCGACGGCCTCGGCGCGCGACTTGAAGAGCGGCGCCTTCTTTTGCTCGCACTCCATCCGCAGAGCCGCGAGCTTCGCGTCGAAGTCGCGCTGCACCGCGTCGCTCTCCTCCTGAAGCTTCTCCAGCGCCTCGACCCGCCCGCGCACCGCCGCAGGCAGGCCCGCCAACGTCGCGTCGCGCCGCTGCGCCGCGCTCAAGTCGCGCTGAGCCTTATCCTTCTGCAAGGCGTCGCTCGCCTCGAGAGCAACGGCGTCGCCAGCAATCGGCGTGCCCGCCGCCGACGAAAAGTTGAAGGCGAACGGGTCGGCGCGCGCCGACGCTTCCTGCGGCGCGCTGAAAGCGAAGGCGGGAGAGCCGGCGCTGCCGCCGCTCGGCGGCGCTTCGAACTTGAAGGTGCCGCCGGACGCGCCGCCCGAGGGGGGCGACGCGGCGAATTTGAAGCTGCCGCTGGGCGCGGCCGCCTCGCCGCCGCTGCCCGAGGAGAGCTCCTCGTACGCCTGCACGAGCGCATCCTTCGTGACGCGCTTCAGCACGGCGGTCGGCTGGCCAACCAGCTTCCGCTGGTCCAGCCAGGCGTTCTCCGCGTTCGACTGCAGATGTTCCAGCAGCATTCTCTTGCTGACGGCATCAGACTTGGCCTCCGCGACGGTCCACTTGGCCATGGTCTCTGCGGGGCGGAGCAGACGGGGTGTGAGTGAGACCGCTGCCCGCACTGGCGAGGCTTCAGACGGCTTGTCTCAGTATTGATCGGATGGAGCGGCCAGGGCTATGATGCTGGGCGCCAGTGTGGGACCTATGAAGACGTCGTGTGTCCGGGCGTGCAGAAAGAATTTTACCAACGGCCGGGTACGGGACACCCGGTGTTGTGAAAATCCCCGTCAGCAGTCCTCCTCCGGGAATGTACGTAAGAGCTACATACACTGAAAATCCTGCTCGTGCAGGTGGGGACCTTGTTCTCGTCCCATCCCTCGTTTGGCGTGTCTGTTTTCTTTCTTCTACCCGGTGTTGTGCAGCAGGTGCGAACTGGCGCGTGCTAGCACTATCACAACATTGTTCGGCTGCGGCCTTACCACCAAGATCGGGAGGCGGCCAGGGCTCATAGACTCGGTCGAGAGACCCCAGATTGGCATCCATGCCTCTCTGGACAGGGTGGCCCGCCACAACGACCCCTGGAATTGCGACTCGCCGCTTTCCTCCCGCTGTGATTCTGTGTGAGCTCTGTGTCTTGATTTGCCAACAATATACCTACAACACCAAAAGAAGTTTCACCAGCGAAACGGAATCCAGACGCGACCTTGCCACAGCCACAGCACGCCGTCGCAAGCAAGCATGCCGAAAGCACGCGATGCGAAAGCGGCCTCCACGCAGCTCGTCACCAGAATCGGCTGCGCAGTGACCCGGTGCTGTCTGCCTGACTCAGGCGCAATCTGCCGATGCGAGATTGTGTGTGGGCTGCTCCTAGGGGGCCCTGTGCGATCCGACGGGTAGGGGGGCTGTGCCCGGGCGGTGTCCGGTGTGGAGTCCCCTTCTGATCCCGCCTGAGATGTTGGGTGCGAGGTCGTGGAAGCTTTGATCCCAAAGGGGGGGAGCTGATCCCACTCGTAACCAACTCTCAGGGGCAGTAGGTGGGCGAGCTTCAGGCGCGCCCATCTCGATCGTCAAGGCGTCGCTACGCGCGGTCTTCCGCGGGGGGAGCTTCGTCGACGGGTGCGGGAGCGCGGCGCAGTCAGTGCCGCGGCGAGGCCTCCGGCTGTTTGCGGCGGGCGGCTTGCTGCTCGCTGCATGGCGAAAAACTCGTCTCGCCACACACCAAGGGCGTATGCTCTGGCGAGACGTGAGGCGCATGCGCCCAGGAGGGGAGGGCGCATGCGTAACGACGCTGCTAGAGATGCCTTTCGGGGCCCAGAGACAAAACTTCTGTGATGCCATGCGTGACCTAGTAGTGTCCCCAGCTATGGGCGTGTCCACGTTGGAGCCAGGTGTGGTGTGGGCGCGAGAATAGCTCCGCCGTTCATGGAGGCAACCGATGCGAGTCGACTGGTGTGTGTCGTCGTGGTTTCGTATCAAGAATACTCACTCACTCACACAGGGATCTACAATGCTGTCTTAAGGTCCGACAGGGTCGGCACCGGGCACCGCCTCGGTATACAAAATGCGCCTGCGGGCGGACCCTCACAGATCACAGATCAAAGCACCAGATCTGGAGAAAAGAAAACAACGATGGCACAGCCGCCCGGCCGCGCCAAAGGTCCTCGAGACCTGCTGGGCTCTGCGAGTTAAAATTCGATGCCAACCCTCGCCCTACTTTGCCTCTCGGCGCTCTCTCCCTTTGCGGTGCCGCTCACCGGCGCTCAGCGGCGATACCTTCGTGCGCATGCCGGCCGGCTCACTTCCGAGAAGCTGCTTCCGCGGGCGCTGGTTCTCGACCCTGCGGCCGGCAGCCTTGGCGAAATCGAGGATGCGCTCTCCACGCGCGAGCTGGTCCGCTGCAAGCTCGGTGCAGCGAAGAAAAAGGCCGAGGCGCGTTCGATGGCGACAGAGCTCGCCACCCGTCTGGACGCTGAGGTTGCGCAAGTGATAGGACACACGTGCCTTCTCTACCGGCAGTCGCCGCAGCGAATCATCGAGCTACCGCCAGAATAATCGCGTTTGCTAAATAATGATACGTACACGTACATGCCCTCTGCTGGCTCTGCAGACTCGAGACTGCACTGACGACCGACTGCGCGGTGCACGACGTGTCTCTCGGTGACTAGTCCGGTGTGTGCCGACTCCGTGCCGTGCCAGGCCCCCACGCATCCTCTCTCCCCGATCTCCGCGCGCGTGGCCGCGGGCAATTCACGAGTCCTTCCACGAGACGCCTCAGAACCAGTTTCCGCGCATGCTCACGTTCGTATCGTCCAAGGAGCAGAGCAGCTGCGCCATGCCCTCCGTCTTCGAGAGCTCCTGCCGGGTGAACCACTGCATCGTGTGCAGCTTGCCGCGGTAGAAGGCCTCGTCGTCCGCGCTCGCGTCGCCGCCCTCCGCCTCGAGGCGCAGCAGGCCGCGCCGCGCCGCGGTGCCCTGCCGCAGCCACTGCCATGCGACGGCGGTGTGGCCCGTCATCGTAAGGTAGGCGTGCGAGTTGCTCAGCCCGACCTCCACCTCCCCGCCCGCCGCCGCGCCGAGCAGCGTCGCCGTCGTCTCTTGCAGCCGCTGCATCGCCGCCTCGAGCGAGTCCGCCGCCTCGGCCAGCGGCACGCCGCCCGCCGCCCGCGCCGCGGCGACGTCCTCGGCGACGGCGGCGCCGAGCAGTTTGAGCGCCGCGCCGCCGCCCATCGACGCCTTTCGGCCGAGCAGGTCGAGGGCCTGCAGGAAGGGTCCGAGAGGGTGAGGGGAGGCTCCGAGGAGGAGTCGCTGCAAGCAGGCCGCGGGCCTGCACGCCGGACGTGCCCTCGTAGATCATGTTTGGGCGCGCGTCGCGGTAGAGCTGCTCGAGCGGGAAGTCCTGCGTGTAGCCGTACCCGCCCAACACCTGCATCGCCCACTTGTTCGCCTCGAGGCACCACTCGGACGGCCACGCCTTGACCACCGGCGTGAGGAGCTCGAGCAGCAGCAGCTTGTCCGACCTCGCCGCGGCGTCGGCCGTGGTGGCCAGCGCGTCGATGACACCAGCCGTGTACATGCACAGCCCGAGCGCGCCCTCGACGTACGCCTTTTGCAGCAGCAGCATCCGCTTGACATCCGAGTGCTCGATGATCGGCACCATTGGCGTGCTCGGGTCGCGGCAGAGCGGCGAGCGGCCCTGCGTGCGCTGCCGCGCGTACTGCAGCGAGTAAAGGTAGCCCGCGAGGGCGGGGCCCACGCCGCCGAGCCCGACTTGGAAGCGGAGCTCGTTCATCATGATGAACATGCAATGCAGCCCCTGGTTAGGCTCGCCGACAAGGTGGCCGGTGGCGCCACCCGTCGCCTAACCTCGGACAGTCGGGATGTCTCGAGCAGTCTCATCCACAAGGTGCCACGAGTGTCCTATCCGCCGCCTCGCCAAACAGCAGCTCGCCCGCGTTGACGCTCGCCGTCTGCCCCATCTTATGGTTAAGCCCTCCCAGCCGGACGTCGTTGCGCTCGCCTAGTCTCGGGGCAGCTCAGCTGATCTGCGGCGAAACTCCCGCCCACGCCGAGCTAGACGCCGGCCGGTCGCCGAGCGAGACGCCCTCCTCGCTGAACGAGAGCGCATGCTTCGGGACGAGGAAGAGGGAGATGCCCTTGGTGCCGGCGGGCGCCCCTGCCCGGCGCGTCACACCACGCGTCACACGGAGCGGGAGGGGGGAGGAGCACCTCTCGTGCACGTGCCTCTCCTCGCTCCTCTCTCTCTCGCTCCTCTCCTCGCTCCTCTCCTCGCTCCTCTCCTCGCTCCTCTCCTCGCTCCTCTCCTCGCTCCTCTCCTCGCTCCTCTCCTCGCTCCTCTCCTCGCTCCTCTCCTCGCTCCTCTCCTCGCTCCTCTCCTCGCTCCTCTCCTCGCTCCTCTCCTCGCTCCTCTTCTCGCTCCTCTCCTCGCTCTCTCTCTCGCTCCTCTCCTCGCGCGCTCTCTCTCGCTCTCTCGTGCGGGCGCCAGGCAGCTTGGCGAGCACCATGTGCACGATGGTGCCTCCAAAGTTGTTTTCCGCGGCGGTGATCCACATCTTGTTTCCGCGGATCTTGTACGTGCCGTCGGGCTGCGGGTGCGCCGTCGTGCGGATGTCGGTCAGCGACGAGCCAGCGTGCGTCTCGGAGAGGCACATGGTACCGCACCTGGCCCAGAGCCGTCCGGCAGTGAGGAGGCCGCTCGCGGCCCTCGCGGAGGGAGGGGTCGAGCCGCACCACTCGCCGCTGAGCAGCTTCGGGAGCACGTGCGCGCGCTGCTCGTCGGTGCCGTGGTGCTGCAGGATCTTTGCAGCGCCGACGTTGAGCGCGAAGTGCGCCGAGAAGCCGGCGTTTGCGGACGAAAAGTGCAGCCCGACGGCGCCGCTCACTGCGACGGGCATCTGCGACCCTCCCACCTGGGCGTGGAAAGGGAGGCAGGACGGGTATAGGGCTCTCGAACACACCGCCCTGCGTGTGTTTGGCGATCTGCAATCTCGAAGGGCGAGCCTCGGCGTCCATCGACGTGGTGAGGAAGCCGGCGTCGGAATAGGCGCGGTGCGCCGCGACGTGCTCGGGCAGTAGCGTCAGCGTGTCCGTCTCCTGGCAGTACTGCGGCGGGTGGCGGTCGCCCTTTGCATTGTACTGGTGGAAGTGTGAGTGCGCCAGCTGGTGGGCAGTGTCCAGCGCAGCGTCAAAGGTTGCCCGGTCGCAGTGTTGGTAGCGCTCGGTTTGGCACAGCGCCTCGACGTTTTCAACCTCGTACAGGATGAAGTCGAGGTCACGCCGGTTCATCACGAGGTCATCGTTGATGTTGGCGTGCGCGTCCGATGCGGGAGGCGTGTCGGGCAGCGCGGAGAGGCGGCGCTTGGCCGGCACGATCTGCCGCCATGGCCGTGGTGCGAGGCTGCGAGCGAGGTTGGACCGTCGAAGCAGCATGTTCACTGACTGTCTGCTATATGATCTGGATTTGAAGCTCAGCCTCCCCGGGGAGTTTCGAGCTCTGGCGGCACGAAAAGAATTCGCGGGAGTACACACACATGCCGGGAGCCGCACACAAAAACACATGCAAAAACTCGGCTAGATAATCAAAAGTTCAGCGAGAGCAGCCCGGCCACCCCGCGCTTCACCCAGTGCGGCTGCGGCTGGTCCAAACTACATGGAATGTCAAGTACCATCACAAAGTTGGTTGAGTGCCCGGTGGTGGAGAGGGTGCCGAATCTCGCTAGCGTCTTGTAGATGGGGCACGCGTAGACGCCCTCGCTCGGCGGCTTGCGATGCTGCTCTGGCAGCATGTGCACGACGGGCAGCTGCGTGAAGAGCACTTTGGCCTCGGACTCTTGCAAGAGCTGCACGTCCGCGTCCCAACGCGCGCCCTCGATGAAGAGCCCGTATATGTACGCGCCGTCCTCCGGCGGCGTGGAGACCGAGGGGCAAGCGTCTCCCTCGAAGGTGTGCATCTGCATCTTGTAGGCAAACGAGACGGTGTCTATCGCAATCTCGTGCTTGCGCGCGTGGTTCTGAAGGGTGCCCGTGATGAATGCTTGCGGAAAGTAGAAGCCCGAGATCCAGAACGCCTGCGGCTTGCCATGGTCGATCCACCGCTGGATGAAGTTGAGCCGTCTGGCGCGGCGAGGACGAGGGTGCCCGTGAGGCCGAGCGGTCGTGAGGGGGGGGGCGGGCGGGTGATAGCAAGGGGCGGGGAGCGAGGCGCAGCAGGGAGGGGAGGGGCGGCGGGATGCGAAAAGAGGCGGCGGGGATGCTCACGATAACAGGTCGGGCACCCACGTGCCGAGCGGCTTGAGCGAGGGGTACGCCACCTTCGGTGTTGATAACGGTGTTGACGGCACGCATGCCAAAATCGTAGTGGTCCTGGGATGAGAGCTGCTCCGAGGAGAGGCGGAAGGTTGACACCAGCTTTTGCGCACATGGCTTCGGGAAGTCGAAGCCAAAGGAAAAGAGCCGAATTTCGGCTATGAGCGCGTAGTCTGGCACCTAGCGAGTGGGGGTACCGGCGTCAATGATAGAGCAATGAGATCGCTGCCTCTGTCTAGAGCGTCGGCGCCATCATCGCCATCGGCCTGAAGAGCGCCTTCAGGTTGTCGGGCAGCTCGGTGCGGCCGGCATAGCCGGGATTCATCGTGATGAAGGTCGCGGTGGTTGGGTCGAGCCGGATCTGTGAGCCCTCAAACTCGAAGATCTCCTTCTCCTGGATGATTGCCGACTGGATGTTGAGCATCTGCTGCGCAATCACCGACAGCACCTCGATGTCGATCCGGTTGAACTCGTCGAAGCACGCCCAGGCGCCCGCCGTGGAGAGGCCCTTGAAGAACTTGCCCATTGCCTTGTAGTCGAGCCCGTCCGAGCAGTTGAAGACGACGCACTGCTTGGCTAGCGCTTTGGCCAAATCTTTGACCGACTCGGTCTTGCCCGTTCCCGCGGGGCCGGCGGGCGCGCCGCCCAGTTTGATGTGGAGCGCCCCCATCAGGGTCATGTAGCACCTATAATCAATCGTGTGGTCACGTATCACTAGTCAGCTTCAGGCGACCATAATGTAGAAGGGTCACCGGTCGGTCAGCGGCGTCACGACGAGGCGAGACGAGGCGCCGAGGTACTCGTAGCCATAAGGGTAAGTACATTGGACCATCCGTACCAGCATATTGATTGGCCCGAACCGGGACTCGCGCTCCTCCCAGTAGTAGCGCAGCTGCGAGACCCACTCGAAATCGCCCGTGCGGGACACGCCGGCCTCGATGAGGCGCTCGACGACATCGCGCGCGTGGAGCTCCATCACAATGATCGCCGACATCACCTTGGACTGGAGCTTGGAGAGCTTTGTCCGCACGAGCAGGGACAGCTCCTTCAGCTGGGCAACCATCGTCTCGAGGTACTGCCGCACACCGTCGCAGCCTCCGTCCGAGATGGCGAGCTCGACGCAGCTCGTCCAGTCGAGCTGCGACACGGAGATGGCAACCATGGAGGCGTGCGACTTCATGAAGTCGCCACGGGCCTGAACCTTGTAATCGGCAATCCCTGTCTCGGTCTCCTTGCGAACGGAGCGGCGCATCGTGGTCTCAATTTCTCCCATCCACAGTTCTACGGAGCCCTTTGGCTGCAGAGGCGTGTCGAACGGCATCACCTCTTTCTCGGCCGAGATCATGTCGGACATCTCGCACTGTTCGCCCGTCATCGTGATTGAGTGTATTGCCTCAAAGCACTTTCGCAGATGCGGCTGCACGGCGTTTGGATCCTTCGTTTGGGACAGAATGCTGATTAGCTCATCGTTGGAGAGGAAGTAGAAGCGAGCAAACGCCGCTCGCTTGGTCTCGAGATAGTCGGCGAGATTCTTTTGCACCCGCTCGAGCTCCTCATTGGCGCTCGACCACGCGGTGAGGAGAGCGTCGTCGTCGCAAAAGGTGAGGACGTGCGGCGCGGCGGTAACCGCCTTGATCGTCTTGCGCCACAGCTTGTCCACCGCGCTAAAGCGCTTCGCCTCCGCGGGCAGCTGCCGCTGGATGTCCTCCGAGTCGAAGATGGGCTGGAGGTACATCCAGTTGCGCTGGCAAGCGAGCCACTCGGACAGGACCTCCTGCACGAGTCGTAGCTTGGTCTCCCAATCAGTGATCCGCGTCTCGAAGGGCCCCTTGTGTGGCGAGAAGGAGAACTGCTGCGTCAGTACGATGTGGTCGTCGAGCAGCGTGTTGCACTCGTCCGATACCTTCACAACGCTCGTCCCCGTCGTGCGATACGCCACCACGTCAAACTCGATGGGCGCCCAAGCCTCGACCATGTCGTCGAGCGCCTTCTCGATGGCGAACTCCTTGAGGGCGCGATCGCACACCTTCTGCACCTCGGCCATGATCTGGGGCTCATGAAGCTTCATGCGCTCAGTCGCGTCCCTGAGCGTGGCGTCTTCTCGCACGTGGGCTACCACATCGTGCGCGTCGCGGAGAATGGCGGTGGCACCATCTTTGCGCATCAGGGCGGCGCCTTCGACGCGTTGCCAGAGGCGGAGCAGGAGCGCTGGCAGCGGCTGGTGTCGGTCAACTCCAACAGCGGCGTCCTGCACCCGGTGGTGCACGAGCATCCCATCTCGGGGCGCAAGTCGGTCTACTTGCACCTGGGCATGACGGGTGCCGTGCTCGAGGTCACGCCGCCTGCCAATGACCCCAAGGGCATCGAGAAGCTCCGGCTGCTCGAGCAGGACGAAATGCGGCACTTGTTCCAGAGCTACAACGCGCTGCTCAACAAGGGCTTTGCAACGGGCGCGGCCGACCTCCTCGGCGGCGCGCCGCGCTACGGCGCCCTGGTCGAGCTGCAGAATCTGAACTCCAAGCCCGAGCTCAATGGCCAGCAGGGGGTCGTCGTGGGCGTGCTGGACCGCACCAATGGCCGCGTGGCAGTGGAGCTGATGGAGGGCCAGGACCCGGCGAATCCGGTCAAGAGGCCGCGGATGGCGGTCAAGCCGGAGAATCTCAAGGTGTTGCGCGCCGATGCCGAGGCTGCTGATGCCGAGGCTGCTGATGGCGGCGTGGGTGCCGACGATGAGGCAGCGCCGGCAAGTGATGTGGCGGCGGTGGGTGGTGAGGCTGTGGCTGGCGAGGCGGAGGAGGCAGGTGCGGAGGAGGCAGGTGCGGAGGAGGCGGGTGCGGAGGAGGCGGAGGCATACACAGCGGTGTACGAGTACGAGGAGGGCGATTGCATCTTCATCGACAACCTCGCGGTCGCCCACCGCGCCTCCCCCGAGGCGCACAAGCCGAGCACCGAGGTGGGGCTGCGCATCCTCCATCGCACGACCATCCGCGCGCCGCAGAACTTCGACCCGCCGTACGGCCTGCCGCCGGTGCTCAACGTGCTCGGCCCCAACCCACTGGGCGGCGGCGGCGTGTGGCAAGGCGGCGGCCTCGGCTTCCGCTGGGACGAGACGATCCCGATGCAGAATTGAGCAGGCAGACTACGGAGGGGCAGGGTGGAGGCTGGATAGGTGGTGGTGGGGTGGTTTGACTTTGCCGCAGAGGCCGTCGCTAGCTGCCAACTCCTATTTCTTTTAGCTTGGTTGGGAGCGGAGGCTACGCTTCCGTGGCTTCCCGTGGCCGTGGCTGGCCAGCGCGCGATATCACGCTTGTTTGAGCGTCGATATGTCAAAGCCCCGCCGCGGCGCTGCCCTCGCGCCCGAGGGCGTCGTGGTTGTGCCGCACCCGCTGCGCGTGCGCCCGATGGGGAGCCTGCTCTTTGCAGACGACCAGCGCAGCCTCCGCGAGGAGCCGGGTGCGCTGGGTGCTCTGGCTTTGCTGCCGGACGAGGTGCTGATGCAGATCCTCTCCAGCGGCGGTGCGCGCGAGCTCGCGTGCTGCGCCTGCACCTCACGGGCGATGCGAGTCCTCGCGCTCTCCGAGGACCTCTGGAAGGCGTGCTGCCTCGAGGAGGAGTTGGCGCCGGGCGAGTGGCTACGCTACGACCCAGGTGGCTGGCGATGCACCTACCGGCGGCGGCGCGGCTTGCCCGCGGCGCCGGCCGCGTCGCTCGGGGCCACACACTACTACTACTCGGACGTGCTGTACGCGCCGTGGCACTGCGGCACGGCCGCCATCCCTCCGCGCTGGTCTAGCTTTGAGAATGTGCCTCGGGTCGCGGCGAGCGGGCTGAGCGTGGAGGACTTCGCGGCCCGCTTCGAGGCGCCCGGCCAGCCGGTCATTCTGACCGGCTTGGCGAGCGGCTGGCCCGCCGCCGCCAAGTGGACCGAGGCGGCGCTTCGAGACCGGTTCGGCGAGAGGTGCGGCTTCCACGTCGGCGGGCGCGCGAGCCCTAGATGCACGGGTCACACGCTCGCGTGTCCGAAGCAGCGCTCGCAAGAGGCCCGCGTGCACGAGACCCGTGTGCCTTGCATGCATGCTCCAGGCACACGATGAGCCTGCCCGCCTTCTTCGACTACTGCGCGAGCAACGCAGACGAGCATCCGCTCTACCTCTTTGACAAGCGCTTCGCAGAGACGTCCGCCGCCGGCGGCGGCGCCGAGCCGGGCCTGGCTGCGGACTACGCCGTGCCCGCCTACTTCAGCGCAGATCGCGACCTTTTTGCGAAGCTGCCGGGAGGCTGCCGGCCGGACCACCGCTGGCTCATCGCGGGCGGGACGCGGTCCGGCTCTCGGTGCTGCAGGAGCCTTCCCTAAACCTTCTCGGAACCTTCCTACAGGCGGGACGCGGTCCGGCTCGGCGTGGCACGTTGACCCAAACGCGACCTCCGCGTGGAACGCGTGCGTCCGCGGGCGGAAGAAGTGGGTGCTCACCCCGCCTGGCCAGCCGCCTGCCGGAGTGACGCCGAGCGCGGACGGCGCCAGCCTCACCTCGCCCGTCTCGCTGTACGAGTGGTTCCGCGTCTTCTACTCGTCGCTGGCCGAGGCGCGGGGCGGCGGCGGCGGCGGCGGCGGCGGCGGCGGGGCGGCCGCGCTCGAGGCGACGGTGGAGGAGGGCGAGGTGCTCTTTGTGCCGTCGGGATGGTGGCATTGCTGCCTCAACTTGGAGCCGTCGATCGCAATCACAGGGAACTATGCTCCGCGCTGCCACGCAGCGCGCATTTTGCAGTACCTTCGCGCGGGCGACGAGGCGGGCGACCTTGTTTCGGGCGTGCCGCATGAGCTGCGCCCCCGCCTCGCCGGCGAGTTCGAGGCGGTGTTGCGCACCCACCACCCCGAGGCGCTCGAAGGTGGCGAGGGGGGCCAGCCGCGCCAGGACGGCGGGGACATCACCCCACAGGCGGCGCGGCCCTCTTGCGCCGCCGTCATGGGGCGGGAGCCGCAGGCGGAGTTCCGGTTCGATTTTTGACCGGTGTGTGTGTGTGTGTGTGTGTGTGTGTGTGTGTGTGTGTGTGTGTGTGTGTGTGTGTGTGTGTGTGCGTGCGTGCGTGCGTGTGTGTGTGTGTGTGTGTGTGTGTGTGTGTGTGTGTGTGTGTGTGTGTGTGCGTGTGCGTGTGTGTGTGTGTGTGTGCAGTGTTCACGAGTGGCGAGACCGGACAGTGCCGCCGAGGAAGCACACATACGTAAAAAACCGTGTAGGTTGGCATGTGTGTCTCCAACGCGCCCTAAAACCACACACCCCCGACACCCCAAGGCTAGTTCCATTTCACTGTGGCACAGCTCGCGTTACAAAACCTTGATTTGACCATTTGCGCAAAAAGGTACATCTCGGTGCCTTCCAGAGGAAGCTGCGACCCCGCCGAGTAGACGGTTGCACACAGCAGGTGGCGCTGTGTGACGCCGTCCACTCAGCGGGGTCGCAGCTGCCTCTGCGCGTCCTGGGTATGTACCTTTGTCGCGCGCCGGAGATGACTCGACGCCGCTGAGATCGGAGATCAAGCTCTGACAGGTCGCACGTCGCTCCTTTGACGCCGACGTGACTCACCCGTGCTGATAACATCAGGACACGGTCTCGACGCGCTCGGTACGACGCCTGCGACCCGTCTCGGGTCAGGTGGCACGACGCTCATCGCGCCTGCCAGCGCTGCCGTGCAGGTTGCCACGACGAGGTCGAGCACGCTTCTATACGCTCGCCCAGCCTTCCTTTCCACCCCATTAGGCAGCCTGGGAACGGTGGCGATCAGAGGCAAAGCCTACGAGGGGTGGTGGAACCACATGTCACGGCCACCGCCGGCTCGACCCCACGATAGCCTCCGAAGGCTGACTTTGAGGCATCATCATCGGACGATGTCGACGAGTTGGGTCGCTCTCGCGGTAGCCAGATGACCTCTCATACTAGGATCATCGGCCATGGCCGCAGGGAGCGCGGGGGAGGGCGCTGGAAGCAACACGGAGCTCCGTTGGAGACGTTTTCAAGATTAGCGTGTCAGACAGAGTGAAATGGCACTAGCCCAACTACAGCACGAACACAGGAGGACAGTGTGCGCGCATCCGCATGAGACACGCAGGCACAGCCCGAGTTCGCGAGGGTGCGCACTTGTACTGTGTGTGTATACATGAGAAGGTAGGAGGGCATGCGCCGCGCATCTCATACCCGGAAACGCTGCCCGATCGCAATGCCGAGCGCCAGGCAGACGCCTCCGACCGTGATGAAGACGAAACTCCCTGCCGCGGCGCTGCCGATGATGCTGCGCCGCCCGTTTTGGCGCTCGACCTGGAAGCGGCTGCCGGACGACGGCGCTTCCTCCGCCGCCGGCAGTTGCCGAAAAGGCACCCCCGCAGCCGAGCGGCGCGCCTTCATCTGGGCGAGGGCGCGCGACAGTCGCTCGCCCGCCCAAACGTGTCCCTTGGTCAACTCGAGCGCCTCTCGCCACCGGCGCGAGGCGGCAAGCTCCGCCGTGCAGTGCTCATAGAGGCAGACCGAGTCCTCCTTGCGCACGTCGAGCGCGTCGAAGATCTCGACCAGCGAAGACTCCGCGGCGCTCGTCGACTTGCCCGAGAGGGGCGTCTCAGGCGGGATCGAGACCGACTTCGAGTGGTGCGGCGGAGACTTCGATGCTCGGTTAAGCCACGCCGCGGCGCGCGCGTCATTGGCGGCGGCGGCGTCGCCGCTGTCGGCGGCACCTCGCCGCGGCAGGGCCTTGCCGCCTCCCGTCGCGTTGTGCCGCAACAGGAGCTTGGTGACCGAGCAGTGAGGTGGAAACAGCTGATGGAGCGAGCTCAACGGCAAAGAGTCTTGGAGCAGGAGAACGCCACAGACGCGGCGATTGCAGGTCGCGTAGTGCGAGCGTAGGAAGCGGACGGGCTCCGCGCGCTGCTGCTCCAAGGTGAGCTCGGCGCGCTGCCTCGCCGTCGCACCACTGCTCGAGTGGGGCGAGTAGACGTCGCCGCTGCAGTTGAGTTCAGGGTGCCGCGAGAGCAGGCGGCAGGCGGCGAGGCCTCGTGGGCGCGTCGTAGCAAACAGGATGAAGAATCGTCTGCCAGCTTCCTCTCTCAGCACACAAGAGGGCGCGGCATTCAAGCGCTGTGGCGATTGACAGCTCGCCGGCGAATGTGCACAAAATACCCAGCAGCACAGCAGGAGTCGAGCGTGTCCGCGGAGCATCGTCAGGAACGTTTGGAGCAACAGAGCGGACGGACAATCGCGGGGAGAGTGTTCTTAGCTGACGGCGACAAGGGCGTGCTCTGGCGCGAGAGCGTCGTCGTGGAGGAGAGTGATCTAGCGACGGCGACAAGGGCGTGCAAAGATTCGACGGCGAAGCCAGATTTCTTTTGCGAGTCAGAAGGGTCAACTCCGGAATAGCTTTTTCTCCCGCGTTCCAGCCAGGCGACCACCTCCCGACACCGCGTTCCAGCGCGACCACCTCAGTTCGCTCGGCGAGGTACAGAGATGTGCCGGAAATCGGTCCGCCCCCACAAGCCGTCGGCTAAGGCTGCGGCGATGGCGTCGGGAGAAGCTGTGGTCCAATCGAGCCACGCACTCGGCAGCGGTGGTGGAGGCGGCAGGCGGCCCGCGACACAACAGGTCGGCGCCGGAGAGCGCGCCGGAGAGCTCCTGTCGGCCACGGACATTGACGTCCGCCTCTGGCCTGGCGCGGCGGCCGCTGGCTGGGAGGTGTGGCGGGGCAAAGCAAGAGATCTCCGCGCGTGGAGCCCGCGCGGCAAGCGCTACACGAGCTGCACGGCTGCGAAGGAGGAGACGGGGCACGCCCTCGGATGGGGTGCTCGCGTCGGAGAGCGCCGCGTGGAAGCAAAAATCCTAGGACAAAAGAATTTTGAGTCCCGTAAGAAAAGAAAACGAACGGGGATATGTCGATAGTATGTATAGAATTTACCATTTAAGGATCGCATTCGCTCTACTGGATAGGAATTAGGATCGTGGAGATCGACATATCGCACAACCCTTTTCCTGGCTCACAAGCTAAAGAAAGATGTTCACGGGCCGCCCCCACACGTTCGCACTGCGATCTACAACCACAAGATCCGCCGGGTGGAGTTGGCGACTGGCGCTGTGACGACGGCGGCGGGCAGCGGCACCGCGGGCAGTGCCGATGGCGTGGGCGGCACGGCGCAGTTCTACTACCCAAGCGGCGTCGCCATCAGCCCGGACGGCAGCGCGCTGTTTGTGGCAGACCGAAACAACCACAAGATCCGGCGCGTGGAGGTGGCGACTGGCGCGGTGACCACGATCGCGGGCGGCGGCTCCACGGGCAGTGCTGATGGCGTGGGCGGCGCGGCGCAGTTCGCCTATCCGTGCGGCGTCGCAATCAGCCCTGACGGCAGCGCGCTGTTTGTGGCAGACGAAATGAATCACAAGATCCAGCGGGTGGAGGTGGCGACTGGCGCAGTGACTACGGCTCGCGGGCAGCGGCGCTGGGGGCAGCTCTGATGGCGTGGGCGGCGCGGTGGAGTTCAACAACCCAAGCTACGTCGCCCTCAGCCCCGACGGCAGCACTCTTCTGGTCCGCACAGGAACGGCTCTCCGCCAGGTCTGCGTGTCTGCGCCTCCTCCGCCTCCCTCCTTTGCGCCGCTCGTGGTGCCGCCCTCGACCCTCGTGGCAGACCTGAAGAAGATGCGGGGCGACGCCAGCCTCCCCGACGGCAAGGTCACCTTCATCGCCGGCGATGACGAGGAGCGCTACGAGCACGTGAGCAAGTGCGTCCTCTGCGTGCGGTCCGTGTTCTTTCGGACCATGTTTGGCATCGGCATGAAGGAGCGCGACGCCGCCGAGATCACGGTGCCCAAGACGGACCTCGCCAGCTTCACCGCCTTCATCGACTACCTCTGCACCGACCAGCTCGACCTCGGCGAGGAGGAGGGCGAGCAGGCGCGGCGCGCGCTCGTGCTGCGGCAGCTGGCGCAGATGTACCAGGTGTCGCGCCTCGAGCTGCTCTGCTCGCAGGCGCTGCAGGAGAGCGTCGGGCCGGCGAGCGCCGTGCCGCTGCTCGAGGCGGCGCACACGATGGGCGACGGGCGGCTCCTCGCGCAGTGCCGCCGCTACGTGGCCGACCACGCCGCCGAGGTTCGGGCGAGCGGCGGCGTGGAGCAGCTGCGCGACCTGGGCGTGGCAAAGGGGCTGCTCGGCGATGCGCTCGACCAGGTGGCGGAGCTCAAGGGGACGGTGGCGGCGCGCGACGCAGAGCTCGAGGAGAACCGCACGCAGGGCGAACGACTGCTCCCTGGAGCTTGCGCTCGACCCCCCCTGCCTCAAGCTCGACCGGGCTAGTCGCTTGCCTCCTCCCGCCCCCTTGGAGCTTGGTTCCCCCGACCCGCCGTGGACTCCGGCGGGTGCCACATGGACATGGCCCGAGCCGTCGTGCGACCCACGCGGTCCCGGTGGCGCGGCTGGTGCCGACGGGACATACATGCACATGCTGTCGTGATATGCCAACCCCCGCGCGGCGCACTCCGCACACGCCGCCACGCCGGCTCACTTATACACACTTTCTCGTTCTCTGACTCTGTGGACTTGAGTGCATCATAGCGTTCCACCACATGTACATGTACATGTGTACATGTAGCGATCAGCGAGCAGCAGCAAGATGCAGCACGAGCAGGGGCCGCAGGCACACATTACTCGGGCTTACTATTTTCTTGCTGTGAACTCCATTACGTACCCGGCGACCGTCGGTGACGACAGCCGATATGAGACGACCACCAGGGCACCAGACGCACCTCTCTCTCCGCCTGTATACCGTAGAGCGTAGCACCTGTGTGCGCTGTGGGGGAGACACGGTGGATTCCATCAGCGTACGTGCTCCCAGGCCGTCCCGAACGGCGGCGTGCCCCCTTCCAGCCACTCTGGCCCCAAATGGTGCAGCCAGCGTAGCATCCTCATCCAAGCGACCGTCGGCTCCCAAATGTGCGGGTCGCCGCGCCCTCGCCCGCAGCCGAAATCGAAGGAGGGCGCGACGAGCATCGCGTCGTGCGGCATCGTCTTCATCACGTGCGACTCGTGCAAGGTACCCGCCTAGAGGTGGAGGGGCGTGGCCGTGTCAGCGACGTGGCAGCGCGTGTGTGTGGTGCGTGTGCTCTCCTTGTCCAAGGCACACGCGAGCTCGCTCATCGTGTCGCTGAACACCTCTTGCCCCCCGTGCGCAACCCACACGCTGTCGGGCCGAGCAGCGGCGCGCAGCTCCTCCTACGCGAGGCTTCCGAGAAGGCTCAGAGAGGGTGCTACGCCGCCCGACGTGAAAGCTGCGCCCAACTCCGCCTCGGTAGCCACATTCGGCGAGACCAGCGAATCGGCGTCGCGGCGGGCTGACGTGGCGTACGCGTAGCCAGGAAGGTTAAAGGCGGCAGGCAGGCCGGACGGCAGGTAATCGCCCCAGCCGAGCGGCGCAACTGGCTCCTCCTCCGTGGGGACGAAGTTCTGCGGGCTGTACCCTCCCGCGACCTGCGCGGCCGCCAAGAAGAGGCGTGAGTAGCGAGTGTCTGGCCGCAGAGTCGAGCTCCCTAGCGCGTCGCGCACCGGATCAAACTTGACTGCCGATGCCGTCTTTCCAGCGGCGTCGCTCAGCGCGGCCCAGGGCGAGCTGAGGCCTACCCCTGCAGGGGGGGGCAGGTTCCCTTCGCCCAGGTAGGACGTGCCCAGGATGAGCGTCGCCAGCGCCATGCCTCCGCCCGACGAGTCGCCCATCACGACGACGTTCTTTGCGCCGTATAGCCGCACGAGTGAACGGTAGCAGCGGCACAGCTGCACGACGGCGGCGGGCCAGGGCTCGGTCGAGGCGGCTGGCCACGCGGGCATCAGCACGACCTGCCCCGTGTTGTCGGCGAGCGCGAAGCCGACGGCGCTCGTGTAGAGCCGCACCATCGTCCCGATGTTGCCGCCGCCGTGCACCCACATGATTACTCGCGAGCCGGGCGCCCCCTCCGCCACGTTTGTGCTCAGCGGCTGACCATCCCTTCCGAGCGTGCCCGGCGGCGTCGGGAGCCGCTCGAAGCTGCTCGGGAAGATCCACGACCCGCCAAATTCCTCCCCGTTTGGCGCATAGATGCCTGGCTCACACACGTGCGTCGAGGCGGCGACCGACCTCGCCCGCCCTTGCATGAAGGAACAGCTCACCATCAGGCAGCAGCGGAAGCAGCGGCACGTATCGGCGAGACCGAAGCAGGCCTCCATCACGCGCGCAAACGCGTTGGGCGGAGCGGCGTCGAAGCTGCGCCCGCTGCAGCAGCCGCGGCAGTACGGGAGGTGGGAAAGGCAGCCGTGACACCACCAGGGCATCCGCGACGCCCAAGGGCCCGCCGCGCCGCCGAACGCCTCCGACTCGGAGACGGTGGGAGGCGACTTCCAGTAGAAGCTGCCGGGACCCCTTCCCGCAGCGACGGAGCCCTTGTTGCAGCACCAGCGCAGCGCGGCGCACCTCTCCTCGGGCGTGGCCCAGCAGAAGCACGGGACGCAGAGCTGCGCGACGGGACAGCAGCAAGGGAGGCAGATGAACTGCGGCTTGGTGTAGGTGTCCGGCTTCCAGCACGGGAGGCAGAGGTAGCTCCAGGCGCAGGTGACGACGTTGTTGCCGCCGCAGCACACCGCCCACGGGTGCTCGGTGAAGCAGCAAGACCCGTAGCACGCCCCGAGGCTCTTTGCGCAGGTGATTCGCTGCGGCCGGCCGGGTGCGAAAAAGTCCTCCGGGACGAGCGGGCCCTGCGAAGCATCCTGGAAGGCGAGGTGCTCGAGCGCAATCTGCTGCTGCGTCGCTGCCGGATCGACGGGAAAGGACGGCACGAGTTTGTCGTCCCGCTGCATCTGCATCGCTGCGGGCGCGGCCTCGAGGCGCCGCCGCGCGATGTACTCGTGCGATGGCACGGGCACCGAGGGGCGGGGCTTCGAGTCCTTCGTCGACATCACGAGCGATTTCGTCACCCGCTTTTCTTCAGCACTTGAGCACTGGATAGGGCCGATTCCGCGTGGTACGGGACCCCTCGATCGTCTCGCCCTCCCTCACTGGTATGTTCATTGGGGGGGGTCATAACAAACACGGTACAGGATCGAGGTGCACGCTGCCGAAGCAGTGTCGTCCCCCCTCTCCCCGACGGCGATGGCGGTGTGACCGATCGAGCTACAAGAGGAGCTTGTTCAGCAGGATCCGGGATAGTCAGATGCACTACCTCACTGGGCCTGAGAACACCACACGACAGCATCCCGTCACCGTCTCGGACTTATGTAGGGTCGAACAACTCCGGGATGGGCAAGCCATCAGTTTACGTTCCGTATCTCACTTGAACTGCAGGAGATTCAGAGAGAGGGATGAGT